GACAGGGCGCGCACCATGGGAGAATCAGACGATTCACGACCTCTACTGACCCGTTGGCCCAGGGACATTGAGGCGTCACAAGTTGGTGGTGTGCGCCCAACGTTCGGCGTAGCTCGTCGATCACTCAGTTCTTGAAGTGCGACCCGCAGTCACTAACCCACGTCGCGACGACGTCAATGAGACCAAACCAGTCCAAGAGGGCTGAAGCCGTGGCCTGAGAGGTGGCGTCGGCTCCGGGGTACAGGCGCACGTACCCACACATGTCGTCCTTGACGACCAGCAGGTAGCGCCATCCGTTCGTAGCAGCGGGCATCTGGAGTCAGTCAAAATGGATGAGCTCCTTTGGTCGGTTACACAGCCGCCGCTGTTGCAGGTCGACAGTGCCGCTGGGGATCGACGTGGCTCCCGTCGGCATCACAAAACAGCCCTTGTCGACAGATCACTTGACCAGAGTCTTGTCCTCCACGTCGGCCGTGTCCTCGTTTTCGAGACAGACACGCTGGACACGGACAATCTCGTCTAGGGCGGGCCACTCGAGTTGGTGGACCGCAATGGTGACACCAGCTTAACCATCTGGTAAACGCGGGCCAGGCTGGCCCCGCGGTTCGCCATGCCCCACCGACTCAAGAGGTCCCCCCAGATATTGTCACCCCCCGCTATCGGCTCGATCACGTAGGGGAAGGTCGACATGACCAAGAACCAGCGCTGCAGCCTGCTCGCTTGGTACTTGGCAATATTCGTCCCACCCCCGCCGGGGTGGAACATGTACACATGGTTCAGGTGGTTCGTAAATAGACGGAAACCGCCGGAGCGCAGCAGAAGGTACTCGAGGCGCTTGCAAGCTTCGACGATGGGCCATCGATCGCTCGCCCCTCGGATGGCACCGCTCAGGAACGCGAGCGGTTCATGACGTTGATCGACTGTTAGACATTGAGGTATTCGGTCGGAATCTGGGTGACTTCTGCGCCCCAGAACCCGTCGCTGGCATCGGTGTACAAACAGACGACCATGTCAGCTGAAGGGTGGGCCAGGGGCACCATGCAGTGTAACGCATCCTTGATCGCTTTAAAACAAATGGCATGGTCCTCAGTTCAGCCGATACTGGCCAATTGGACCCTCGCCAAAGCCGCCTTCCGCCGTGCGCCATTGACGGCCTTCGCGGCGACGTCCAACAGCTGCATCAGCGGCGCCACCAGCTGGGCGTACGCTGGTATAGAGGCGCGCATTCAGTTGATGGCGCATATAAACTGCTGCAGCTCGGCGGCCGTCTCCGGGGCTGCCAAGTCGCACGGGCATTGGAATGCGCTTGGGCGAGTGGGTGATCCCTTCAGCGGAATTCACCTTGCCACACCACTCAACTCGGCGCTCGAAAAACGAACACTTATTCGGGTGGATCTTCAGACCATACTCCCGCAAATGCCGAGGACGTTGGACACAAGTCCCAAAAGTTCATCCTTACCGGATGCATACCCGAGGAGGTCATCAAGCCACCTGAGGACCCCGTAAAACAGCAGACCACCGAACATTTGGTTCACCGCCGCCTGGCAGAACGCAACGGCATCGGTGCAGCCCATCAGGACTCTCGTGGGGGTATAAAGCCTCATGGGGGTCAAAACGAGAACATCTCCTGGCTGTCGGGGTGCAATAGCAACTGCCAGTACCCCTTCATTCAGTTGAGATTAAAGGACATGGATATGCCGGCCAGTGTCGCAAGAGCTGCGTCCAGGTTGGGCATGGACCACGGCATCGCCTTCGTGCATGCGTAAACCGGGCTTCTGTCGATGGTCATGCGAAGTCGCCCAGGTACTTCTTGGGGACGATGCGGGGCGCATGCCCTTGGGGGCCGATCGTTTCGGTACACCAGACCCTCACGTTCAAGTTCGGACACGTGTTCTTGCAGTTACTGCACGTGGAGATGCGGGTACCGCCGAATGCCACACTTTACCGGCACTGCGCCGACCTTGACACGGACTTTGGGCGGCTACACCTCGATAGGCGGTTCTCCGCACATCTTCAAACGAAAGACATCGATGAGGTCTCGGAGCGGCTTCCGGAGCTGCCCCAGCCCCGTAACAGAGAGTCCCTCTTTTTCCGCCTTAACCAACTTGGCGGTGAAGGCCTCCCATACGGCGGTTTTTCGCTCGTCTTGTTTCTTGGGGGCCGAATACAGACAGTTGTGGCGCAGCACATTGCAGTCCATCCTCTTCGTCGCCCCCGTCATCAAGTTCCATCTTCTTCAGACGGTTGACCCTCGCCAGGGTCGTTGACGCTCCGGGACCTGAGTCCACTGCGTCCAGGTCCCAGACGGCATTTTGTTTTCGGGTTGCCTCGAGCACCCCGCTGGCTGAATAACCCAGTGCGTTCATCACAGGACGCCCAAAAAACAACTCGATCTTGTCCTTCACGGTCTCATCCACCTATAAGTCCAGGCTCCAGAGAACCACCGGAACGTAGGATGGCTGGAATTCTACGGAGCCCAACTTGACCTTTCGGGTCACCGTAATCTCCGGTGCTCACTTGTCATACGGTGCTAGGTCCGTAGAGTGCGGCATGTCTCTCATCACCACACTGGCTCCCGCTGAGAGTAACGCGGTCACAAATCCCAGCGAGGCGACGGACGTGTCGGACTCCGAGTCGAGCAGGGACGTTGTCGTGGGTAGGACACCCTCGACGACGCACTCGAGCCGTGAGGCCGATGTCGACGGTGCTGGGACCTTGAGTACATTGACTTGTTTGGCAACTTAGTCCCGTCTGCCATCACCACCGGCACCACGGTTCGGAGCGCTGCTTGGTCGATTACCCCCAGCATTACCACCTCGCCCGGCTCCGTTACCGCACCTGCCTCCTCGGTTTCTACGGAGCTGTTCGGACGCTTCTTCGGGGGTTGACTTTGGGCAGCTACGGACCAGACCCAACGAGCCAAACTTGAGACAACCTCATCGAGGTGTCGCTCCCGCCGACGGTGCTCTTCGTGACGGCGCCGGACTCGTTTTCGGGGACCCGCCGCCGGCGCATGCAGCACCGGCATTGGATTTGTTCCCCTTGGGGAGGTTGCAGTCTTCAGGTCGCAGCTTGACGAACATCTGGTACGTAGTTGCGCATTCCCGAAGCCACCGCACGAACTTGAAAACGTCCGTTATTAACTTCTTCTTGCGATGCATTGCGATCTCCTTCTTTACTGCCTCTTGTAGACCGGCTGGCTTGATCACATTCACCATGATGCTGACCATCATCTTGTCCTCCTCATGAAGGACCCACTCCTGATTGTCCAGCTCGATGGTCTTCATTAGGCCTTCGAGCATCTTTCCGATCCTCGAGTCGACATCGGTGATCGACAGGTCGAACTTGACCGCACCACGTGGTCTTGTACAGATCCCTTCATGGTCCATATGGAGGACGCCAAAGCCTAGGCGCATCCATACCACCCATTCGGCTTCGGTGACGAAGTCAGTCGGCTTGTTCATTTCTCACATGGCAATTCGCTTCTTCGCACAGTGGTCGATGCAGGCTGACATCGTTATCACCAAGGGTTTGGTGGTCGTCGTCTGCAGAGCAGCCACCTGTTCCAGATATTGGTTGTGCTCGCGCATAAACTGGCGTCGTTCGCCCTTTGTCGAGCCCTTGAACTTCGGCGCATCCGGGATAGCGGGCGGTTTTGAACACCATCAGGTCGTTGACAACCGTGCTCTCGTCGTCACGTTCTTCGGCAGCCCCTCTCGCCGCGGACGCTGCGGGGCCGTTCGATCCGGCTCCGGAGCCGGTGCTGAGGTTGTTCCGCGCGCCGCAGCCGCCGGTTCCGCTGCTGCCCCATCGGACGGCGCTGCCACCGGGATAGTCCAGGTTGCATGTCTCGTCCAATCTGCCGCCGTCCGTGGTTGCCGACCCCGAGGCGATTGGAATCGTTCGCCTTCCCGGGCGCACTCGGGCTGCGCGATTTTCTTTGCGCCAAGCCAGAGGTACGCCTTTCAATGTCGGCGACGTCGAAGTCGAAGCATGTAGTACAACGGTGCCTAGGGACAGTTCTTTGGCTTGGTCGTCAAAGGAGGAGCTTCCAGTGGAGCTGACGTGTGTGGAGACGCGTGCACTCCAGCTCAAGTCGCGTTCAACGACGGTGTTAGCATGGCTGGCTTGACCGATTCGTGCAAGGAATTGCATTACTTTACGTCATGGTCTTGCCTTATTCCGTCGATTCGGTGCCAAACGGGTTATTGTCGTCGGCATCGTCCCGCTAATCTTTCTCGTTTTGATGGCATTTACCAAGAACACCGCTCTTGACGTGCCCATTGCAGCCACTTGCAGACTGACTCAAGCCACGATCAACTTGTTGCTTGTTCCGCTCATTATCCAGGTTGTCGGCCACGGACAGGACAATTCGCTTAGGCTTTACAACGGCGTCACAACGTCCATGGGATACGCGCTCCGTGTATTTGTGGGTGGCGCTTTCAGTGCACTCGCCTTTTGTGTTGCCCTCTTCAGCTTTCACATCACCATGAATAGCGTGTAACATGCAATAAATACACCATTGCCATCTGCTTGCCCACAAGTTGCCTCACACGTGAGGATGTTCGTTGGTGGACTCAAAGCAACATTGTTCTCGGCTTGGCCTCGATGTCGACTGCACGTGCGAATGTGTGTGCAGTCGAGCATGTGTGCCGAGTGTGTGCAGCCGAGCAATGGTCCTGGTTTGCCAGGATGACAGGATTATGTTCCAGGGTCCTAGCGTCCG